AAAAATATTAGGGTTGATTCAGTTTGATCTCTACTGAATTTAAAAACTAAAAATTATATATGTATATATTTGAATAAAGCTTTTAGAAGATAAGTTTTACGAGATGATGTCGTTTCGTAGTTTCTCGGATTCTCGGATATTTCAGTGACTAGGCGAAACGATGAAATGATTAAGCGATCTATATTTTGTAAGCTGACATGGAGCGGACAATATCTGCATTTCACCAGCTTTGCTCACATCCAATAATAACATTCCCTAGTGGAGTGTTTGTTTTCAAGGGCCCGCGAAATTTTCACGAGCGACATATTGATGGATGAGCTTCGACAAATACATCCAGTTTTATCAGCTAATGGTTATCCAGAAAACCTTATCACTTGTCACAGTAAGGATAGACCACATCTTGAAAAGACAGCTTCTGCACCAAAGAAAGCTATCTTTGTTAACTTTTCATTCATGGCTGGTCAAATTATGCAGTTGACACCTCATCTCTTCCCCTCACATCTCGAACATTTTCGACTCCTCTACCTATGATTAATGGACGAAATTCTGTGGACTCTAGTTCAATCTGTGTCTACAAGTTCACCTGCAGTTGCAGTGACGCACACCTCTATAGGTAGAACCGATAGATTGTTCCAATGTCGTCGAAAAGAACATCTTCCAAAGTGGTTATTAAAACACACAGAAAATCCCAATGCAATTATCAATCTGAATAGAAATCTATCATCATCATCATCCATTGTAAAGTACTTATTAACGTCAGGTCACAAAATCAATATTAATGACTGTTTCACAATTACTTCACATAACTCTAATTCAAGGTCGGTTATTGTAGGTGATAGAAGAACTTTGGATCAATCACATATATCCTAAACTATGTGTAGAAAAGCAATAGATATAAGTATAAAACCTGAGCACTGTGGTGGAGTATAACTCCATTATGGATAAGATTTTATTTTGATAAATCACAATGTTATACAGCAATTCATATGAACTGTGATCAAGATTTGACCATATATTTGCAAAATAATTGAGCGCTGAGTGAGAAAATTATATTTGTAAAATCTCAGCGAAATTGAAATGATTAATTCCAACGTTTCTTGTGTTCGGCAATCTGGTCCGAACTTCTTCAGGAAAATTAATCGAAATTAACATAACAGAGTTTATATATAAAAGAAACAACTCTTGTTTTTTAACTTTGTCCAATCATGAGCCATGCGACAGGCATCAACATGTATAATAAATAAATAAAATAGTATGTTTGTATATCCAAAAACCTTCATAAATAGATATTTAAAGTGTGAAGATAAGAATGAATCAAAACCTGATGCTAAGAATTTGGTTAGTACAGAGGTGATTCCTTACCGCAAAGAAACATCCGACGAAATAAAGCTAATCCTTAACGACCATAACATAAGAGTGTATTTTCGTGCATCAAACATCTTACGCTCATTACTGGTGAAGGTTAAGGATAAAATAGAACAAGAAAATCAGCAGAATTGCGTATACCAGATCAATTGTGGGGATTGTAACTCCGTATATGTAGGAGAAACTTCCAGACAGGTAAATATAAGAGTGAAAGAGCATAAAAAATGTCTAAAGGTGGCTCCAAAGACCTCTGCAGACTTGAAGAAGCTAGAAAGCAACTCAGCGATTACACTGCATTCGATAGAAACGGGACACAAAATCGACTTTGATAAGACTAAGGTTTTACAGAAAGGTTTTGGTTCATATAAAGAAAGAGTGACTGCGGAAGCCCTACATATATGGGTGAATCCCAACAGTTTGAACATACGTGAAGGTGTGATCTTAGCTGATGCATGGCAAATCCTGACTAATAAATAAATTGCATATGTATCAACAACTAGTCACACTTGATCAAATTCCCGATTGTCTACGTCTTCTTATGGAGAGAATAACAAATTTATAAAATTATATTATATTTGTAAAAAATCTCAATTATTTTGTAACTATCCGGTCAAATCTTGATCACAGCTCATATGAGAATGACAAATGTTTTATGACTGTTCACCCACACATACATACACACACTAATTTTGAAAGTCTGAGGTCAAATTTTGATCACAGTTCATATAAAAATATTTGTTTTGTTTTGTTTATTAAACCTATTGATAGCTGTTTCTTGACTCACATGACAGGACAAACAATTTAAAATAAGAGATGTGCTTTTATATATAAACATACTATTTTATTTATTCAAGTGAACTTTTGTCAAGATTTGACAGAATAATTCTAAGATATTTGGGCGCCGAGTGAGAAGTAGACATTTGTAAAAAATTATATTTGTAAAATCTCAGCGAGATTTATTATACATGTTGATGCCTGTTGCATGACTCATGATTGGAAAAAATTTTAAAAACAAGAGTTGTTCCTTTTATATATAAACCTCTGTCATGTCAATTTCGATTAATTTCTCTAAAGAAGTTCGGACCAGATTGCCGAACAAAACGTTGGAATTAATCATTTCAATTTCGCTGAGATTTTACAAATATAATTTTATAAATGTTGTACAGTAATATTAACTGATGACCATGTTTCGAGCACAAAATATTGCCACTCATAATCATATCAAGTTACTCACACAACCTTTTTCTTCATTTATATACACGAGTGGGATGTACATTATCCTATGTTGATTTTTATTCAGATATCTAATCAATTCCACAGTTTCCTTTGAGTTTAACTTTATACTACTCATTACTAGTGATAAGTAGTATGAATTAAATTTAAATAATTATATCATAATTGTATAACCATAATTAGTAATTCCCACCAAAACACATCTCATTTTGTGTGTCAACATTCAGCTTGTTTTAATTATCTTCCTATGGTTAGACCGTATTTCCGGCAAACGTTTTCTTCATGTTTCATTCTGTGTTGAACATTCTTTGTCCAAATGTTTTCAATCTTGATCTGTTTATTTCTGCGTTGTTTATTTCTGATTCTGGATCGTTTTTCTAACACAGCTCTACTGTTTCTTTATAAAGCCTCAGTGACAGTAATTTTGACAGCATTCAGCTTAGGTACTTCACAATTTCAGGTTCGTAAATTCTATTCGTTACTGTTAAGTGTAAGACACTACTGTATTTTAGACGATTCATGTATTTACAAAAAAATTGGATACTGAGCAAAGAATACTCTTTTCGATGACTTCGTCATCATCAGCCTCTACAGTTATACATACATTATAGTAGTGAATGAATTGGTGTCATGAACAACATTAGTGTTTAAATAACATCAAATCAATAATATCAATAGATTACAGTTCAATGGCATCAACATAACAATATATTGAATGTCAGAAAAATTAAGGAAGATAATATTACAAATTCATGACATTATAGTCTCTACTGAAGGCCGACCAGGGCAGTAGTAGGGGCTGGACCTGCTTCTTTTGCACACAGAACACTGGTTGTTCCACGACAATCACGATAGCCTCTGCTGTTTGGAGCATGTGGTGCATCGGTGTTTTTGGTAATTTATTTGGCACCTGGTAGATGATAGAGAAGGATTTTTCAACGCTGGCTTTGTGGCTAGTCGGTTTGCACCAGATGGTCCAATGTCGAACTGTTCATGGTTTTCACTACACCTTTACCTGGCTATAGTGGGAGGTGTTCTCGAGCACGAAAAACCAAGTTCCTAGGGCAATGGGCAGTATAACTGGCTCCACAGGCGCAGTTGAGTTTGTAGATACAATCGGAAGTGGATAGTCTAGGTACTTCTTCTTTCAGTCCAGGAATCACCATCGGTCGTGTAGAGAATAAGACGTGTAGTTCGCCAGCATTAAAAGTTCCTTGAACTGATTTTCTTGTATTGTGGATATTTACGCGTAAGTCAAAGGTTTCGCATATTTAATAGAAAGTATGAACGCAAATTATCATTCCGGATCTTTAGGGAGAAGTCTACAATTTAATGTAGTTTCACACCACCTCATTACCAGAAGAATTTAATTAAGTGCCTAAGCTACAGCATAAGACGTCTATGTTCAGATGAATGCATTCTCAAAAAATGTGTAAATTGAGGCTTATACACTTGAATAAAGCTATTTAGAAAAGTACATGTCTACATTTAGAGATAGGACAGAGATATGTACAGTAGGTATGCAAACGTTTTTGAGCGCTTTGGGAAATTTCTGTGCCCATGGGATCAGACACACGCTGAGGAGACCGTTTGATGATATCGCTCATCAGGCCGTCGAGTGGAACCAGAATGAGAAACAGCGAGTTGGGCGTTGGTCAGAGGATGACATGGACGAGACCGTGTAAAAAGTAGATGAAAGCTTATAGGAAATCGCGGGTCCAGTTGAAGAGGACAAAACAGCAATGTGCCCTATTTTCCATTTGGAACCCAAAGGGGTAATAATGTAATATAAATAAACATTATTTCACAAGTTATCAAGGTGAAATTTCCGCAGACATTCCTTTCAGCTAAACCGGTACTCACAAAGCCAACCAAGGAAAAATCAAACAAATATTTGTGATTAGGAATTTCGAAATGCCTTTACGTCGTTTCGATTAAACGTCTTGAATAAATTATATTTTTCCTGATCTCCTGTCAAAATTCATTAAGAAAACGCATTACTTCAAAAAGGTTTTATTTGGCGCATAATGGAAGGAAAACTGTTTAGGTATACCGTTCGATGGATACAGTTAGTGAAAGACTGTTTGAAGAAGAAGGCAGATTCTTAACGATTATGCTGGAAAAGGATACTGAGAACACAATGAAGTCCTCAAACTTTAAAATTGTTAGGAAAATTTAACTTTTAATTCTTGAGAGTGTTAAATTTTCGCTAAGATAACAACGCCATGATAATTTTATGCGAGAAAAACATTGCAGTTTGCCCAATTTTTTTGGCTAATAACTGAGTATAATCATTAACTATTTCATACTGCTTTCAATAAATATTGCAGAAATGATTTAAGAGAGTTGTGCAGTTAAAAAAGAACGCGATGGGGGGAGGGGAATATGAAAAGTACTCACTTTTAAGCCCTGATTTTGAATTGCTCTAATTGATGCATCATTTCTTCACTGATGACATCAGGACTGGGAAGACGAAACGGGATAACATTATCTTGTTGCTGGTTATCAACCTTTTCTTCTTCTGCCAACCCCTTTCCTTCTTTGCTATCAGACTGATGATCTTCAGGGTTCAACACTGGACGATTTGATGAAATTCGCCCTTCATGCATACGACTAGAAAGGCGACAATGTTTCAGTCTTCCTAAATCTTTTTTATTGCTTTTTTGGGCTGAATTCAATAGATAATTATTCAGTAATGTTAATATTTTCAAATATTCTTCAGTCAACTGACTTGAATAGTCATGGTAAGAGGAAAATTGCTCAATAGCTGCATTCAGCTGACACGGACATGTGATCATGACTAGTCCAGCAAGAATAGTTAAACACGCTGGTGCATTGGAGCCTGTGATCAGGATATTATTAGCGCATGTCTGGTTATCTGCGGAACAAAACGCTTCAGAAAATGGTGAAAAAGTTTTGAAATTAGATCCTTGTCTGATGTACTCGATTGGATTATTGAGGAAATTTAATATCTGTTCAAATTTCGAGAGGACTTTACACTCGTTTAGTATACTAGCTGTATCAACAAGCAAATAGGGTATCCTTAATTTCAGTGAAGCAACACGGCACAGATCTTTCTGTAGATTGTAGGTAATTACAAGGATGCAGTCAATGCTTTTATTATTGATCAATGAAGTGATATAGGATGGAGAGAATTCGGAGAGGTGTATCCAGCTGTGTGGCTCTAGGTACCATAAGCGATTGTTTAAAGTCGACAGTGGAGGTCTTAGCTCCAGGATATTTTGTCCATTTGAGTACATTTTAGGATTTAATAACCAGGGCAAATCGTTTGTAATTTCTGATATGAGAATTTCAAAATATTTGAAATAGCCTAGAGTGCCAGGCTTTGAAGATGACTCATGTAGACTCTCTGAAGCATTTTCTTCAGTGAGTTTGTTCACTAAGTGCTGAAGTGTCTGTTGAATTCGTGTCTTCCAAGGTGAGTTGGTTTTATCCACAATGAGAATGATGAGAATTTGTTTTTCTGATGGCGGTTGCTGTCGACTAAAATTTATCCTGGATTTCAACAATGATTCCCAGTAGGTTGTAGGCACGTGAACATTATACAGATGATTTACACGAATTGCATTGAGAATTGAATGAGTGTGAAGTAGGGAACTGGAAGAGCTTTCCCAGCGACAGTCGAAAAGTAGATTTTCAGCGAAAAAATCTTTTTCACCGATAACCTCAGCGAACTCATACGCTGATAAATAACCAGGGCTAATTTGAGTTGGAAGAGATGAAGCTACAGTACTACTAGTTCTGGTTGATTTTTTGCCCAGACCAGCTTTCAGCCGCTTTCTTATTTGTTTAGGCGACTTTCCCAACCACCAGCATAGCTTCTCTCTGTCGTTTCTACTGCTGACGCGCTTCTTTCGATGCATTTCAGATGCATTTTCTGCAATTCTGTTTGACATTAGTGGAGTGAAATGTGAGTTATCGTGTTTGCTGACTGGAATTCGTCCTGATGACACGTCATCGGATTGAAAATTGTTCAGGAATTCTGAGTTGTGTTTCGGTGCACCTTGTGCATTCTCGACTAAAAAAACACATCGTGTGAATGAAATGATAAAAAAAGAAATGTTAGCTTTAAGACCGAATATTAAAGATAATTAACTTTCAAGATTTCCTTTGATGCTTTTATTCCCTGGTGTTTCCATTAGCATGTGAGTACCGACTAAAGGTGAGCAGATATGTTTATTCCAAATGCTGCCCAGTCATTATAGATAAGATTTCATTTTGATAAATCACACAGTGTTTGTTGTACAGTAATATCAACTGTTAAGCCAGAAGATTACTAACGTTTCGAGCTCAAATTATTCCTCATAATCATATCAAGTTACTCACTCACACAACTTTTTCCTTCATTTATATACATGAGTGGGATTAATGATTAGACATTTGAACAAAAATCATTATGGGATAATGTACATTCAGAAATAATAATAATATGAGTGTTTTTGATCAAATACAATAAGATGGGAAATAAGACGAGTGTTTTTATAGTCAAAATAAATAAGTAACTTGTTAGAATGTTATGATGTACGTGAAGTGAAATAGAATTTTAAGATTGTTTATTTTCCTCCTCTGATTTGACTGACTGGTGGTAATATCTTCCATATCTCTGGTATTTGTATTGAGTCATTTCTGTTGCACGTGTTGGGTGTAGACTCGATGAACCAGGATTCAGTCATCAACCTCTCTCGCTCTCCACCTACCTCTATTACTTCTTAGAATGTTAACCCTCTCCCACCCTATTGTGCGGTTGCGTGTTAATGCATGTAGTGCGATTGCTGAGCTTTTTTCTAAATTACTTATCTTCGCGGGGTCAATCATTCTAACCTTAGCTAAATTCGTATGTCCTGATAATCTGACTACTCCTGATCTACTAGTTTGGCCTATGTAGTTGACTTAACTCACAGTCATTGCAAGGCATTTTGTAGATCATATAATTTTGTTTAATTGGGTTCACCGGGTGTTTTAGCCCACAGAGCTTTTCCTACCTGAGTGAGTTTTAGGTTTAAATGCCACTCTAATTCCAGCTTTATTAGGAATCCTACGTAGGTTACTTAGCACTCTTGCGTACTTCCATCTACACAACATAGCTTCAATTTCGACTTATGATTCCCCATATATAAACAGAACGCTTTTAAACGCTCCACAGAAGTCTTATTCAGCGAAGTATAGCTGTAATATTAATTTCAAAACATCACTATTGTAACCATCGTGTTATCGATGACTAGTGAATATTTCTTACTTTCTGCCCGCAGGAATACCGAGATGTTTCTCATTGAACCAGCCTACTGATGAGGTCAGCTTCAAATGAGTGAAACGGTGGGTCGGTGTTTAGGTCACTTCAATTTAACTAGCAGGCACTACTGGTTCATGTAAGCGGTTTCCGAGCACTGACATCAATCAATTGGTAGCATATAGCACCATGCAAGTATTAAAAAAAAGAACTGTCGTTATGTTATGGTTAAAGTTCATCGTAATTCGCAGCAGCTAATGCAACCAGTAAAGACGTTTTCTGTGGAGACAATACCGAATGTGATTACCGCTGAATAATATTTCTCAAGTACGACCTTATCTATTAAGTGGAGAAATATATATGGTATATTAGTTAAGTGTCTTTAAATTCAATATTCATTCTACTCGGTCTCTTGAATTAAAGCTGTATTTTAGCGGGTAATGAGATCAATATTAAACTGCCGAGTACTTCAATTTAAGTCTGTTGAAATATACTCATCCCTTTTTATTTTCACTTGTTGGTTTGCAGGGATTTGATTGGCTTGAGGATTTCAGCATGAACCAACATTGGTTAAAGGAGCATTGGAAGACCACCTGGGAGTAATGAACGGATGTTTTATGTAAGTTTACAACTCTTCATCAGTACGCACCCACTCCACCAGGGTTTGAACTACCCAGGACCTTCTGGTTACAAGGCGAGCTTGCTCGTAGACCATGAAGCCACTGGGATCCAATCCAGTGGCCAGCCAATAAATTCCAACTTCTGCGAATTCATGATATGGCACGACAACTAGCCAATGTCATAGGTGGCGAGTATTTGTCCTCGACTCGTTCACAAGTTTAGAAGACTAGAAACGACTTCAGAAGTACTTACAATAACATTACAAGATGATTCACGCAATGCGACAACTATAAAATTAACCAACAATGAATTGGAACCCACTTAAGTACTTAACACAAACATATGTACAATCAATACATCAAATGTCGTGGATTCTAACTTGACGAGCTACCATTGAAGAACTGTAGGACTTGTAGCAGTAAGCCTACATTCCTTCTCAGGTTGACAATCCAAGTGGGAAAAGTTCCGGACAAACAAAATTAACCAACAGATAGATGAGAGATGATACCAATTCAGCATATACAAGACGAACGTATGTACAAAATAACACACCAAGTACTATGAACTGCGCTTCGACGTACTATCCTTGAAGAATTGTAGAACTTACAGCAGTACGCCTACATTCCTTCTCAGGTAGACGCCCTTAAGTTGGAAAATCGTCGCGGAGTTCATTTTCTGTATATATATCCTCAACTCTGAATGATAACACGCAGATGTCATTGTATCGTGGAATGTAGATGACTAACAAACATACGACGTATCTGACCAACCCAGTGAAGGCACAGAGTAATTCACAACAACGATAACATTCTACGCCCTACTGGTCACGACTTCTCACTACAACTCAGGTAACTACCTATCTGAATAGGACCAGTCACCAGTGAGCATCAGATTGATACTGGAGTGTTGGCTTTCAGGGATTTGACTGGTTTCAGGATTTCATCATAAACTGACGAAAAAGCTGTCCAGTACTACCAGGTTTCCCGATGGTGTTCTAACCGATATCAGCTCATGATAAAATACCTTTTATTTTTTTGTTTATTTTCAGTTTTATTAAACTGTAATAAAACAATATTCTTATTTTCCATGAAAATCTGGGTGCAGTATTTGGATAAACACAGAAGTAGTGACAAACGATGTGTTCACATATTTGATCTTTGTTAATCTTAGGATCAGTGTCAGCTCTCAAAATGTTGAAATGTGATGTCAGACTCCTAAGATTAAAAAATTATTTAAGTTTAACGTTAAAAACAAGCGAAAAGCAACAAGTTGGCAGAAGAAACATCCAGAGAAGATAGGACTTCAGGTGGACATAGAGAAAACAGAGGTGATGAGGATACCTGGACAACAACAGACAATGATCAGCATAAATGGAAGGAACCTGAAGAAACAACCTCTTTTGCCTACCTGGAAAGCATTGTTTCAACTACAGGCGGACGGAATTGACGAGGATATCTTCACGGCGAGGATCGGGAAAGCAAGGCAAGCTTTCATTTTTCTCAAGTCTGTCTGGAGGTCAACAGCACTCAGCATGAAAAATAAGATCCGGATTTTCAACTCCAATGTGAAGTCAGTGCTACTCAACATACGGATCAGAGACTTGCACTGTGAGTCATAAAGAGCATCTCAAACAAACTACAGACTTTCATTAACACTTGTCTTCGCTCAATACTCAAGATCAGATGGCCAGCCAGAAAAGATCAGCAATAGAGATCTCTGGCAATGAGCAGGAACCGATTGTGAAACAAATATTCAGGAAGAAATGGAGATGGATTGAATTGGCCATACTCTGAGCAAAGAAACCATCAAGTGACATCACTAGACAAGCCATCGCTCGAGTGGAACCCGAAAGGGAATTGGCGAGTTGGTAGTCAGTGCAAGGGTGACTTGGAGGAGGTCATGTGAAGAGGAGATGAAAGCGTGTGGGCAGACTTGGAGCCAGGTGAAAACTCTAGCAGAGAACCGAACGCATTAGAGACGCGCGGCTGAAGCCCTATTTCCTCTAGGAATTATAAGAAACAATAATAATAACGTTAAAAACAAGTACACTGTATGATGATAGTCACATAGAATCTGTAATTTAGTTTCCGTTATTTTCCATGCTGTCAGGAATGCGAAAAATATTTAACTTTCCCACCAAAAGAGGAAGTTCAAAGGACTAGCAGATGAAAGTTTTGTTTACAAAACGACAACTGAATGCAGAACTCCCAATGCTATTCATATTCTGGGAGTTAAGCAATTAAAGTACGCTATTCAAATAGGTAGTAGTATGAAAATTGACCAAAACCACACCCTGTTTGTACACTGTAAGTCAAATGAGGTTTTACTCGTTTACTCACCGTTATGTAAACAATCCACGTTTATATTATTGATGATTCTGTGATCCACAAAAGACGTGCCAGTTTCGTCAGTCTGGAAAAGGAAAAATTAGAGGGAAAAAAAAATCGAAATCTGTTAAGCAAAGGAAGAAAAGTGTGCGTCGGTGGCATAGCGATTAGGACGCTCGCCGACCATGCATATGGTCCGGGGTTTGATCCCCGGCTAGTGCACTCCTTTACCTCGCTAAGCCAGAACTAAAGCTGGTGAAGAGGAAAGGTTGGGTATAAGGCTAGCAACCCTATCCTGTAAAAATAAACACTGCTACAGAAACTTCAAGCCTCTAGCTTCAAACCCTATATTCCACTGGGAACGTGAAGGAAGAAAAAAAAGAAGAAGCTTTTCCACGGAAACACACATTTTAAGAAATAACAGACTGACTGGTTTTAATGCGATTCGTTCCAGCTAAGCGTATTTTTATTACTACTGTGTTTTTGGAAGTGAATAAGCCACTTGCTAACAGATTGTCGTGAGCAGCGAGATGATGAAATCTGAAGCGAATATTCAACTGTATTTTCAAGCTTTGCTAATGTTTAATTCATCAAGAATGGGAAAGAATCAAAGGTTTAATATAAAACAGTACAGTGAAATGGAAATTTTTTTAGCAGCTTCATCACCAAAAGATTTTTGAATTTTTAGGAATAATTAGAGGTTCAGGATATTTCATAAATA